AGAAGCAGAAGATTGACAGCTCTCACAGACTGTGCTTCATCAGGAGTCTGTAGTAGTTCTCTCACACATTGTGAGCGTTGAGTCGGACTGACCTAAGGTCAACTGTAGAAATGATATCTGTCTCCCCTTGAATACAAGTTAGCTACTGCAGCCAACACTCAGACTATTACATTCTTCAGACTTCTTTCAGGGAATATTAGTCAATTGCTTTGTTTATTCATTTTTGTCAAATTTCATCTCTGAAAACAAAGAGAGATTGAAGGGGACAGCTTATTTTGTCTATTCCCAAGTTGATAGTTATGTATTCGCACTATTCAAAAGCCTCATTTGCATTACAAATGTGAAGCCAGGTAAGATTTGAATATTCCAAGGTCACTGGGAGTTTTGCATACTGATGGATTTATAGATAGAACAAAACAACAGCAGCACATATCCTTTTCGACCCTCCCCTCTGCTCTGTGTGCACTCAGCACTGATTCCTCCTACAGACCCCCAACATTAGCATTTAGATCTGTCTCAGTCCAGCGCCTTTCTCTTCTCCGTGTGTTGGCATTTTTCCCTTTTAACATTCTTAAAAACTACATTATATCCAGCCTATATGCCATGTTAGGAACTCAGACACCACAAACGTGACGTCAAAACCTGATCTTGTCAGATCTCAAAAGCTAAGCAACACCAGGCCTGGTTAGTATTTGGATAGAAGACAAATCCTAGATGGCACCGTGGCAAAAACTGAGGTTGTGTCCTTTGGCAAGGCATTTCACCCACATTGCCTAGTATGAATGTGGTGAGTGCGTGTATGTTGGTGGTGGTCGAAAGGGCCAATGGTGCAGATTGGCAGCCTCGCTTCTGTCAGTCTGTCCCAGGGCAACTGTGGCCACAATAGTAGTAAGCTACTATTTAGGCCACAGTTGCAGAGTATGGAATCAATTAATGATGCACAAAATTGTAAAGCCACTTTGAGCATCTAGAAATGTGGAAATGTAATTACTGGGACTTTCTTCTTATTTGTATAGCACAATTCAATCCAAAGAAATTCAAAATCTCAAGTTATTTGGTCTATGCTTAACATGACTATCACATACTCTACTTCTAGTTTCTTCAGAAATATGAAAATGTAAAAATTAAAATTTTTCTGAAATAGATGAAAATCTAAATTTCGTAAAGGTAATGAATATTACCATAGACTGTAAATGCCCTTAACCAAGACAAGCCCTGATTTTTCTTCACACTGTTTTCTTCTACACTTCTTAAAAGTGGTCCCATTGCTAACTTGCAGTATGTGAGCGCCCTCCTCCTGTTCCCTCGGGCTGTACAGGATTAAAAGAGTGGAATCAGACAAAATAAGACTTGAATCAGCAGGACCTGACAACAGTTCAGTTGCCTCTGGTGGAGCGAGGCCCATAGACTCTCTATATGTAGCATCTGTTTCAAATCACTGTCACTGTTAGACTCACTCATGAAGCAAGATACAACAGTGCTTTGGCAAGTCATGCTTTCAAGGTCAACACTGATGTAGGCCTACTGCTATACTATACCTGAACACGAAATCAAATACATAGGTAAGCCTTACCCACTCAGTACAACTCAGTAATTTTGTGAGAGATACAGCCAGATATATTTGATTAATTTATATTTATATTTTAATACACTTAGACAGTGTCCAATGATAGTATTAGTTGCATTTGTGACTGACCTGTCACAAGTAGTGATAGACACAAGTTGCAATAACATAATCAAAAACTATATGTCATTCAGTGGGCTACTTGCCGTTGCAGTCTCAAATCCATGGCTTATTAGTTTTAGCTTTTTTTTCCACATTCATATTTCATAAAATCATAACAATAACATAATTTCGTTGAATATATTCTATTCTATCTACTGGCCTGTAACAACACATGTCAGTCAACTAATCAATGGATTTTGGAACTGTTGTGTTTTAAAGACAAAGTATAATCAGTTTTAAAATAACTCTTTCAATATTTAACTTTTTCTCTTATTTTTCTCTTTGCCACATAGTTTGCCCACTTTGCGTAAATGTTCTTGTCAAAACCTGTGCAGATGTGAACAATCAGAAAGAAATCACAATACTCACATCATATGTAACCGTTTACAGTGAACTGACAACTTTAGTTGTTAGTTCAATTAGTTAATGATCTGATTTTTTGTGTACCTGTAAAGTTGGTGCTAGAGGATCCATATTACACTATTTTCTTATCTTCTGTACTGGTATGTTATGTTTCCTGTGGGGTTTTGTTTTATTTCCTTCACACACATTTAACTCACAAAGCCTGCATATTTAGGCTGAGTTCTTCGCTCAAACAGAAAACACTCCACCTTTTTCCACCTTGTGATGTCATGTGGTTATACAGGAAGTGCTGTGGATGATTTCACCCCTAGAATTTCCAATCTCTAATGAACTGAAGGTAAAAAGCATCTGTTAACTTGACACCTATCATTGACATGACATCACTAGGTGCAACAGTGCATTTTGAGCTTTGGAGATGTAGACAAACTAATAATAAGGGATGACTCAAACATGTGTAACTTAAACAAAACACAACTGCATTTAGGCCTTTGTTTTTGAGGAGGTAACAACATTATAAGACTTGTAAAATGCTTATACTATGTTGAACCACTAGAGTGCAGTATATCCCAGGTTTCCAGTTTAACGGATGACCCGCTGAGCTGAACGCAGCCGGGGGTGTGTGCACATCAAAAGAGTACTTTGAAGCATCAGAGTTATCATTGACGTTATGGGGAGCCACGTCACACAGTAGGTGTTAATGCTGAGGAAAGATACAGGTGCCAATATAACTATCCATTGATACTAAACCTTCAAAGTGTTTGTGCAAAACGTGGATTGTGCACATATTTCTCACGCCACAGCTGTTGTTTTGTCACACATAGTTGTTGTCTGCCAAGCCTCTTCATCACAACAATCTCACATAAATAAAGCTTTTCCTCCATTGTGCGTAAGCTGGCTGCGTTCAAACATAAGCAATACTCGCGTGGTAAAATACATTGTTTTATTCAAGCGTCCTTATGTAAAATAATCCCGACAAGTGATTGAGGCCTTATTCAGAATCCTTCTTATCCACGAGAAGCTGCATTGATGAATAAATAATGTGGCAATCTTTCAAGTGCATCTTTGAACAGCTCGAAGTTTTAACCCGTATAAAGCTGGATATGTTCAGTTGCTATAGGTTTATCAGTGGGTCTCACTGTGGTATGAGTATAAACTGCACACTGCATACTGATGGCATATTTTTATACACCAGTCTAGTTTAATTCCTATCCTGGTTCAGACCTCGGTTAGAGTTTGTTAGTCTTGTTTTGGAATATCACTTTTAAGGATTGATGCTACATGGCAGAACAGGTTTGAACCATTTATATTAAACGTGTAACTGTGGGGTGTAGTAACTTGCATTTTCTGTAACTTCTAATGAAAGCTGCCTGTGTTTTATTGCAGAAGTTACATGTTTGCGTTTTCTACAAGATGGTGCTTCCTGTTGTGAAAAGCGATGTTTGAGAAGGCTACCTTATTTATTTGACCTATAATGTGTTCAACTTGCTGCATATAACCCAGACATCTCTAACCTCTAACCCTAACCTTAGTAGGCTGCAAGATAACAAGATTATTGCAGGTTCAGGTTGTCACACAATGTATTACTTTTTGTAGACTTATTTAAGCATTATAAAATAAAATGTGCTAACAATACTTTAAAATTAAAGGAACTTACTGTGTAGTCAATGTAATTTACAGTCCAATTCTGCAAACATTTCTTTCATAAGAGAAATTACAAGTTTGTGAATCTCTGCTCTATAAACTTCTCCTTTCTTGGCCTTTTGCAGGCTGCCTGTCTCTGTCACCACCTCCGCCTGCTCTCCCATAGCATAAAGCCCCCCACTGGGCTTTTCTTTTATCAGTGAAGTATCTGTGAGGCAGTAGAACAAAGGTCTCTCTCTCTCTCTCTCATGCACAAAATAACATAAGGATGGTACATGCATAGAGCACACACTGCACTTCTGTTCTGTAGCCTAAGGTCTCCCCAGGGCCATAGTGACACCAGAGACTTCTGAACCTCCACCCCAAGTTCAGGTCCTCACAAACACACCATTCTACTCCACATGGGCTCATTTGTCATAATTAAAAGGGTGGTGTAGGTTTAACAGGGATACAATAAGGCTCAGACAACTACAAATTAATTAAGGGCACAAACAATGGCATATGATCTGCATGCTCTTCACTTTTATGATACATGCATACTGTATATGAAAATGTGCAGACCAGGCCAGAACATTAGATGCTCAAAATGTGTCCTATATAAACATTTGATATTTATTATAATGTCAGTTCGGATAACCTCACCAGCTGCCATACTGGATGAACAGTAGTGCAACTATTATTAGAACATATTATCTGTGACTGTCATACGATGGAAGAGAACCAGGAGAGCAGGTGGTCAGGTAGCAAACACAAACTACAAGTGTATGCTTTTCTGGAAAGTAAAGCTAGTAGCAGCTTGGAACCTCATCCATTTCTGTTCAGTCAAACAAATCAACTGTTAAAGACTGGATCCTTGGGCGAAATTGGGCAAAATAAATAAATAAATAACTTTGGTAAACTCATTAGCCCACTTACTACTGGCCTATAGCTGCTATATTTGTCTGCTGTAAATTAGGGTAGCCTATTGTTGTCTAGTAGGCTATGCTTTAAAATGGTATTTGCTGTGCCATATAATTGGGGGGACGCCATTGTGCACATTAAATTTCAAAAGATGCAGATCGCATACTAATCTTTTTTAAATATTAATGCACATCCAGCGATAACCCTCCCTCCGCCCCCCTCCTCTGTATCACCGCTCCTCTCTCTCCTCTCTTCTCTGCCTCCGAGTGTCCTGGGGTGGTGTGCGTCGCTTCTCATCACTTTGCGTAGCGGCTGTTGCTGCACCTGCGGGCGTTGAGAGCCGAGACAGAAGGGGGAAAAAAGAAAAGAAAACGCACGGATCTAAATAGGACACTAAAAAGAAAAAAAACAGAACTAGTATTGGACCGAGAGGCGAGGCTGGTGAAGCGCAGCGCACCATGGCCTCAAAGGACTCCACAGCTACGGCAGCGGGGTTTGCCAGCGTGAGCCGGGAAATCACAGGTAAACTTCGGCTTGAGTTTGGCGGAAGTGCGCGTAAAGCCCGCGAGTTAACATCTCTTAGCAAAGTGGAGCATGTCGCTGAAAGCATGTGTCGATTTACTTGTATCGGCTTTGAAATGATTGCCAAATGAAAGAGCGATTCCCCACAGGCTAAACACATGAAAAGGATAGCCTACAAAGCGCGCATTGTAACTTCATCGGTTTCAGAGCGCGTTGGCTTTCTAATTGATCTCTTTGTGAAATTGATCACACGTTGGGGTCCTTTAACCAGAGTTATTTGAAGTACCTGTGTGGCTTTGCTGTGAGTCGTTCATTACCAGAATTCTTTGTATGATTGCGTAGGAGATGCGTGGGATTTGGTTGGATACTCTCATAGAAACCAAGTTGGTGTTGGAGAAATGTAGCCTGCTTGATACGTGGTTACTAATGATGTTGAAGCAGTTAAATCCCTGTATAGACTACAAGCTGCTCATCCTGGCCAGGTCTCCGTCTGTCTGGCACAGCGATAACAGCCAAAAGCGTTAGGCCATTAACACACCTGCCACTCTTGCACCAATGGGGATCAAGTGGGGGCGAGGGGGGCATTTTGGGAAGAGGAAAGTGAGAAGATCCATCAAACTGTCAAAAAATGCAATGTGGGATTAGAGCTTGAATTGGACTGGAAATAAGATATTTGATGTTGTTGTTGACCTCTTGTGCTACCTGTGACCCCTCTGAGAGCAGACGACAAGGTCAAGTTCTTACCCGGATTAACGTCAAAATCTTTTGCCTGAATCCTTTTAGAGGTGTATAGCTGTCACCTTTCCCAACTGTTCACACAAGAGAACCAACTTTCTTTGGTCTGTGAAAGTATTTGTGAAAGAATTTGAAGGTGGGATGGCAGTGGGACATAGTGAATCAGCATGACATGTTGAGCATCTCCATATGTAGATGTCCTAGAGTGCATTTCTAAACTGGTGGTCCCTAGACATATGTTGTGATAGCCTATTTACAATTTTGCATGTTCTCAATAGATCAAGTGGTCATAATGTTATGTGTAAAGACATCTGCTTCTTTAACAGAGCCATATGAGACAGACTGATGCCAAGTCTCCCATATTCCCACACAGAGTAGTCATTACTTGTGCATGTCCTGTTCCTAATTTGCTTCTCTTCCTGCATTTGAAATCTTTATTTTTACCGATAGAAGGTTTAGAATCATATATAGAACATTATCACAATAAATTACAGACACAATTTTTCATAACACTAATAGATAAAAAAAATCAACAAACTCAATTGTTAACCCCTGTTACCTTATTTCTTTGCATTAATATTTACATTTTCTCAGAACTGGCAGCAAGCTTTAACTTCTATGTTCCTTTCTTAAACCACGATTCACTACACGACATACAAGCAGGATTTTACAGTTACTCTATGATCTAGCCATGCATCATAATTTGTCCCTTGTCCTTTTGCCTCACCATTTTTCCTGCTTCTAACTTATCTTTGATCTTGATTTGCTGTAATGTCCCCAGTAGCATGTCCCATGAAAAGGAGAATCTGACTTTACATGCCAGTGGTCATAATGTTTTGCTCTATCACTGAACACTGACATTGTATTTGAATGCTGGAATGTGGTGTGCTCTTTAATTGGTTAAGACCCCCTGCTCTTCGTTTCACTGGTTCAGTAGTTCAAGTGGGGCCCCTAAGATTGCAGCCCCTGATCCTGTGGCTGGTCCCATTGAAATGAGAGGAGCTGCATCTCCGCCTCTTTCTCGGTCTAAAAATAGCCCGGTTATGAGTCCTTTTCAGCTAGAGGTTGTCCAGACTATGTTGTATGTGCTTTTGTGTCTTTTTGTTTGAGGTTTTGGGCTTTTTGCTCTGACTGTTCACCCCTGTGGTATTGTCCTATATATAACTCAAACAAGCCACCACCATAAGCAAAAGTATTAGAAATGTCTCTGGCATGTACAGTATATTTTTTTCTGGATAACAACAGCAAAACTGCTAAACTTACTGTGTCTCTCATGTTAGATCTTGCAATAAAGATGCACCACATAACATTGCAGGTTGGGGGTACACCACCTGCTTGTCTCCTTGGAGATGTTAATGCTTTGTCCTCATATCAAACATGTCTATCTAGCATTTATGCCATTATTATGGGTTTTGTATTTCCCATAAATTCAATCAAAAACATGCATTATCATTGCAAGCTCCTCTCTGAGCTCTAACTTGGCCTGGTAGCATCTGTTTGCCTCCATGGAGATAGATAAGTTTAATATTATTCTGGGGAACATTCAAAGCGAAAAATTACATAGTACACCTTTAACATCTTACTGGAATTTGCAGATTTGTGAAACTTATGGCTCTTTGTGACTGAATTATTATGTAGGCTAAATTCACATATTTATCTTTTATACTAAAAGATTGTTGATATAGTTGTAGTATCTTAAAATATAGTGTGTTTATTCTTTGTGCCTGTCCTAAAAGCTGATTAGTGAGAGGCTTGCTGGTGTAAGGGCTTATGTCATAAATTTAATGCCAAATCAAAATGCAAATCACTGCACAACTGAAGGCAGGTGATTTGATGTGGTGACCTGAGAAGAAGCCAAATAAAAAGATATTCCATACTCTACTTTTCATATGGTCCTGCTCCACTTTATTACAACTTTGCTTTGCCAAACATAGCCAATGTTAAAGTTTATGGACCCTCCCCGTAAAAGCTTTTTACAGTGCATCTAAGTGCATCCCAGGGCAGGGTTTTCATTCTGTTATGTGTTTTCATTATATAATTAGTTTTTCTGCCTTATCTTGTGTTTTTACTCTCCCCTTCCCAGAGAGCATCAGGAAGGTGCTGGACAAGCAGCCCATTAAATTTGTGCGAGCCATCAAGCAGGACACGAGGAGCGGCAAGTCAGAGGACAGGATTCTGGTGAGACCCACAGTATACTACTGCACAAAGACATCTATTTAATCACCAGTTGTTCATTGTACCATATCAAAGACTTCTGATGGATGCATTATTTAGTGACATTCCATGTAGTTACATTTGTGATGTCGGTGTGGCTTAGTATTAGACAGAACAATGTCTGTCTAAAAGTAGATACTCATTTGAGTAGAAATCTAATCTAATCTCCTGAAATAACTAATAGGACAAACTTGGACCTTTTCTGAGTTTAGAATGGTCTGTATGGTCTATAATTGAACTAGTATAATATGATAATATTAAATTACTTTTTGTTGTATAAAAATATGTCTTTTAATCATAATTGTGCTATACCAATTGCTTTAATCAGTTTTTAATAAAAAAATGTTGACTACCGTTCCTAAAGATAGAGCGCTATGCTGTGTGATTCTATTTTGAAAACCATTCTACTTAACACAGTATTAACTTACTTACACTCTGTAAGTCCTCGTGTTTTCTTTTTGTTGGTGGTGAAATCACAGCCCTAATTGAAGGCGCCATAAGAAGTCCCAAATGTGTTGGACACACGTGGTGAAAATCAGGCTAAAGAAGACAGTTGCAGAGCAGATCCGAGTGGAGTGGACACTGTGCCATGGCCTAGTGCGTCCAGCTGAGACTTTATTAGAAGTGGCAGGACGGCTTTAATGCCCTGGGCTCGACTTTAGCCTGCGATTGTATGTGCATGTTAGCCCCGCCATGATGCAAGACTGGGGGCATTTTATTATTGCATCTTTTTCCTTTGAAGAGACCTGCCTTTAGTGGGGCACCAGAGGGTGAGTGGGTGGGCAGCCTTGTGATGTGTTCAAGGAGCTTACGTGCGCACAGGGACACTGCTGTTATGGAGAAATTGTCAATTAGTCAGCTCTATTACCAGCCGATCGGTTTCCAAATGCGACATCCAGCTCATTTCCTCCTGTGAAGTATCCGAGAAGTACTAGATAAGCGAATCGGAGCTATTAATCAGTAATTTGTCGCCCTATCTCCATTCTCCATCCTGCCATCTTCTCCCATATACAAGACTGCAGAGCTTTTAGGAAGATGTGAGAAGGTCGAAGTGGGCCTCTGTAGATTTTTAGTACTGTTGTGGAAAATTCAGGAAAGTTAAAAAATGATTAATTCAGCCTTGGATTCATATCACTGTTTAGAGGATATTGTTTGAGACTTGAGACTTTTGGAATCAAATTAACTTTTTGCCCGGAAATAGAAGATTATATTGATATTTGGTAGAATGAAGTGCCTTGACACTTAGATATCAGAATGAAGATACTTTAATATTTTTGGTTATACATGAGATATATTGGTTGCAATTTTACAATATATGGTTTCTTTCCTGCCCTTATAGAACCTGTCAGTAACTTTCAAATCAATAATATTATAAAAAACTAATTTCATGTCAATAACTGAGAATATTATACATGTCTTTGTTCCCATCTTTCCTAAAAAAACAACACAACAGTGTGGCACCCCTCCCCCTGATCTTGGAGCTCTTTGTTCCCCCTTCTTATCTGTCCATCTAAATTATTCTTCTCTCCATCATCACTTTCCAGTTGCCTCGCACCTTCACCCTGATGCCCTTCCCTCCAACTCAAACCTATTTAAAGTGCATTGAGCTCCTCTGTCCAGCTCAGGCGATTCAATTAGATCTTTGCTGTAAATTAGTATTAATTCATTTTAAATGTACTTTTCAAATAGGTGTTCATTGTTCCAAATAATTCTAAAGCAAATGGGTGCTGCTGTCAAGGTCTGCATGCTCAAAAAGACTTTTCATTCCATTGATGGTTAAATATGTTTGATGTGACAGTGAAAAGATAAGAAGGGTTGTCTGAGTAGAGTCTTACAGTGGTTCAGTGTTGCTTGGTAATGTTGTGCAAAGTTAAAAGTGGATTATTTCTGGATTTTCAGCCTTGAATATCCTTTCTATGATGTTATTGTTTGAAGTTAAGTATGGTTCTCCAATGTATTTTTTCTTCTTTTTCTTTTTCTGGGGTAAAGTTGAAAGTGTAAAAGCCTTATCATGTTACTGAAACCATAGCACCATGAATAGACTGCATATAAAATGTATATAAACGCTTAGTAATAATTTAATATTTCTTAAAATATACTTAACCAGTAACACATGTACCGTAGGACCCAAGGCTAACATTTTAGTTTTAATGTAAGTTCAGATTGGATTGTAATATTCTTAAAACAATAATGCAGAATTCAAAGCCATAAAGGTCAGTCAAGTGTAGCACGCACAGTATATGTATGGCAGGTCATTTATTGTATGATTGCATAGGTCATAAATGTAAACTATAAAATTATTAGTTCTAAAATGCCAAGAAAATAATCAAGAAATAACAAATAATCATGGAGTTCGGAAGGTAGCAGATAGGAAACTGTTTTAAAAAAATATATTTTTATTTCTTAAAAGTGAATGAACCACAAGAAGATGTATGATAATTGGTCCTAGGTCTGCAACAATTAATAGATATAGTTGTGACTAGTCGACTATTAAAATAATAATAATAATAATATTTTTCTAATTGCATTTTTTTCTGCACTGCACAGATGCTAAAAAATATGCAAAAAGCCAATAAAATCTATGATAAAAATGGCTACATAGAATAAACAACTGTTAGTTGCAACTAGGTCTGTGACTATAATTACTACTTTGACTTTCAATATGTGAAAGCTGGAACAATATATTTTGGGGCTCAATATTTATCTTGGTACTTTTTCTTTGCAATAGTGGACAGATATTTGCCATTTTTCTGTGCTATGTTAAGATTTGAGCTGTAGAAAGTTGAATATGTCACGTCTGTTTGCAATATTTTTTCTCCTTATGTTGCAACATATCGTGTTTCAAAATTTGTTATCGTGACAGACCTAGTTGCAACCCTAATTAGTCCGTATGTGTCACTTGCTTTACCAAATTTATACATTTCAGTTTCTTTATATACTCTTTCCTCTTCCTTCTGATCTCTCCCGCCCTTTTGCCCTGAGAGATGCCAGTATCCAGCTGTCTGTGTGTATGACTGTACCAGCCATCACACTGCGACACATGCAGAGGGCACAATCCCCCATCACAACTCACACAGACACAGGCAGAGCACCGCATGACATCCCAACACCACCGGGGGCAGCGTGGATACCATCAACACACAACTCATACTCAGGCATGCACTGTATACAAACCAACTTCAGTACAGTTTGACACGATGGGAGGCTATATCTCATAACACACTTGGTTAGAAACCAGCCCCAACAGCCATTCTTAGATCACCCTATTTGGAGATTAGACGCATCTCACAAAACAAAGCCGTCTTCAAAGGCTGAGGGTGGAGAGTGGGTGGGTTGGGTGCATTGGGAGAGGGAGGGCACCCCACCAGAGGAAAGACACAAGAAAGAGGAGTGCGGGTGGGGGGAGGAAGGAGAGCTGTTGTGATGCTCCAGTTGCTGCTTGGCTCTTGTCTTAGGCCGCTTACTTAACCTGATCATTGGCTGCGTTTTCCCCTTTGTTGACTCTGCACTTCTCCGTCCTATACCTAATAATGGGTCTATTAGAGGCTGCCAGTGGTTGACAGGGCTGAGTGCGCTTGAACACTTGGACACTTGATTTTCTGTGCCGTCTGTAGTGGACTCTCAGTGTAGAGTGTGATGTTGGACGCTACTACTGGGCCCCGGTTTTGATTCTGGGCATGCTCTGTGCAAGTGTGCAAGTATGAATATGGATTATCTATAATTAGCATCTTTATGATATATAGCCAAGAAACTGGTAGCCTCAGCCATACCTCAGCACCATAGGAATATTTCAATAGTGTTATAGTACATTGTTTTAGCTTGCCTATTCAGTTTTATTTAGTTTCGTTTTCCTTTGTGAGTTGTAATTGGCTGTAGACAGTGGGCACTTGATTCCGACAGACTAATAGGTTTTACTTGGAGTTAAGTTGAAAGAAATTGTCTATCCTCTTGCAAAGCTGCTAAGCCTTTAAGCTTAACTGTATGGATTTTATGTTATATGGACAAGTTCAGACAATTCATTTTCTGAAACGTCCGCTAGCCAGGTAGAAAAGGAGAGTGAGCTCACAGAAATTTAAAGAGGGTCTATTATGTAAAATAGACTTTTTTGAGCTTTCTGCAGTGTTATAATGTTGTTCCCTTATCAAAAAACATGCCTGAAGAGGTTTTAGATGTCATCCATGCATGTTTCAGGATTTTAGCAATATCTTCCAGGCCTTCCTATTTGAACTGCTGTAAGATTCTGTGCAATGCTTAGCCCACAAGCCTATATCATCCATTCTCCCTCGTGACAATTCTCCATAAATATATACAAAATCATGTTACAAAACTGTACACAGCAACTTAACCTGATGCGATATGCAGTAGTTTCATTAGCGGGATGCACACTGATTGCGTTGTGATAGCGCTCTGAATGGGGAGTGAGCAAAGAGAGAGGAGCCAAAATGAAAGTGAAACTGTTTTCTGCAAATACAGCATTTTCAAAACAACAAAAGGTAACATGGTGATCTAAATATGTTATGTGGTAGCAGTTAATACCCCATAGAAAATCCCACAGAAGTCAAGGGAAAATATTTTGTATATTTATCGCTGTTATTGTCTAAAAATAATCATTAAAATTCTCTATACAGCACACTTGTACATATTTAAAATTGGACTGTACACAACTCTTATATTGCTGCAGAGACAGTATTAATAACATTATGAGAAAATGAGGAGGAAATCGCTCACATGGCCCAGTGAAAGAGTCCAGCTGTGACAATAAAAGTAAAGTACAAAGCGTTTGCAGAGGACTGGAGGCTGCTGCAGCGTTCAGTATTGCACACCCACACTCGCTCTTCATCACTCTCTCTCCATACTCTTCATCATTCTCTGGTGTAATGGTTAGCACTGCCACTGCATCTGCCATGGCTTCCTCTCATGTCCTTCCCTGCGCAGTCATATCTTATAGCATTTGAGTGAGGAAT